CACGTACATGTACATACACAGACCTCTCTATATATTCTAAGGTACAGGTATGCCCGACAAATACAATTTTGTTGAACATGGTATTCTATCTTTTGGCATATGTACATGTACGTACTATAACTTAACAATATTCAGTTATTCCAGGGACTCCTGAAGGGCTGACTTCCATTGGCCTAGAAACTGAGTTTGGATTAGACTGAAAAATCGTAGCAGTTTACTCCCCCCCCCCAAAAAAAAACAACAGATGGTTCACATCTAGGGAGAAAACCCTGAATCTTTTTCACTGTGACTATTACAAGTGAACACACACACACATGTATGTACATGTATGTGACAGATCACCTTCTTGATGCTATCACAGGGGTAGTGATGCACAGGCCCAGCCACAGATGCATACAAAACAGAACCAAGGTCTATTTTTTGCAACACGGCTCAGCGAGAGGTTACTCAACAGGTCGACATCATCGCCAATCTCGTGAGAATGCAGTGGACTCCGGCCTGAAGTTGAACATAACAACACTCTCTCTCCCTCCCCCCTCCCCGACTGGGGAACAGGAAGTCTCCCTAATGACTGCATCGGAAGCAGCTGAGCCGTTGCCTCCAGTCTTGTGATGTTTTCTGAACCTCCATCCGACTGCAACGTTTCTCTCTGAAGGTCACATACATGTATTCTTGCAACTTTTTTCTTCTTTATCTACTTTGGGACTTTTAGGAACTTTGCTGGAAACCGCAGCAACACTCTATCTTTTAAACCCCGACTCAATATTGTTGAACCGTGGTCCTTTCTTTGTACATTGTTCCATGAATGCTACCTTTCACTTGTTAGGTATCCTCCAACCTAGTAAGTAGCCTAGCAGCCCATCAATGTTTACTCATCTCATCCACATGATTAAACAATGCCACTACATTTACATCATTGAATAAATATCACCTTACACAACATCTTGAAGAAAAAGGCCGTTTATGAATGTGTAAAATTTTGCTTTCAATTTTACACATTTTCCTCTTAGATTTGAATGAACAGGATCTGAACTTTACAAAGGGGGAAGTCCTAAAGTGGGTCTTTAACCCCTCCTAAGGCTTTGCCCCACCCACCCCAATCCCCCATTTCAATATCAGTCCCCATCAAATTTAAAATGTGAGCTGGGAGAACACTGATAAATGTAACGTCTGTTCCCAAAAGTTGTCTTCACAATAGAAGGGTCCTTGTCCATTTGTCTATTTGTACAACCGTCAGTCAAAATAAATTTGGATAGGATTTAATTCAAACCGGGCAGTTAAAAAGGCTTGACTTTGATTTCCTTTTCGAAAAAGGGGGCCTCAATTGCAAGAACTCATTTTCAAGTGTAAAATCCCAACGATATAAATTAATGAATTTTTTTCTACATGTACAATAACTACAAGAATGTTCCCCTAGATACATGGTTAACAGGGTACATGGGTATGAATTCCAAGTGAGGTTTAATTTTGAACCCTCCCTCCCCCTACCAAGAATTGGAAAACCCAATGGCAGTCACTTTGTGGTTTGTACAACGTACTGTAAACAAAGTATTGAACAGAGTGACACATCACATAAATGGTAATGTAGACTAGTATTCAGTGTTCCTGCAAGTGGATCGGTTAGAAATTTGCCACTCTTCGGTCACTGAATACCGTGTATCACCTTAGCACAAGGAGCCTCATGATTGGTTCATCAGCAGTCTACCCACATTGAACAACGAGAGACCTTGAGTCTGAGATTCAAATGTAAGTCAATGCACAGTCCACAGTGCTGTACATGTACCTACATGTACAGGCAGACAGCCCCTACTATCATAAAGTCATGTGCACTCACAAGGGAGAGCAGACTGCTCTACTGGTATGTGAAATTTGGAGTAAAAAAGGCCAGATGGTTTTCAACTCAAGGTGACAACAAAGGTGTCCATAACAAGTGCTCCATGTAAGCCCATGAGATGTGTACATGTACAAATAATTCCTGTCTGCAAGTAACTTGAGGGCTATAAACCTACTTAAGTTACTCACTTAATACATGTACATAACGTTGTGCAACATCCATATTAAAGATAGGTTAACATGGGTAACTAATTTCCTCCATATCTGCAGTAAATCCACATTACTATTTTTTCTTTGATATGTTTTGGTTGCAATGACCCATACATGTAGGTACTGCTCAGTGGAAGTTGGGAGACCAATGGCATCGGGGTAAAGGGCTAGTTTGACCTATTTTCAGGTCAGTCCATGGCATGAATCATAGACCTAATTAAGGCAAATTAAAAATAACATTGAGATTTACCTCACTAAGATTGAAAAAAAAATAAGCAGGGAAAAACTTTAAATGTATCTTTGTATTCCACTAATTTAACATCCAAATTAAACTGACAGGGTAAAAGTGTGACAATGGTTCTAATTGTGGAGACAAACCTTATATGAAAACTACAATATACTGAATACATGTGTCAGTCGACTTTTTTATGATTTGCCATGTTTATGACCTTTGACAAAATGTGACACAAATTATGCTAATACATGCAAGATGTTATCTTTATGACGTTAGCAGGGAGCTAACACTACAGACTGATATGGTATCAACTTAATCAAGTCAAAGATATTCTAGGAATCAAACAGTAGGGTCTACATCCTGTACATAAAACTGAAATTGTTGCAGTGTGTGTGCATATCAACAGGGATGTACTTTCTGAGAGGAAAATCAAGCTGGGTGTGAAAATTTTATCGGAGGAGACTTAGGGTTCTACGGCCTATGCAACTTTTCCCAAATTTTAAGAACAAACATGGACTAGTATTGTTGCCTGTTGAGTCTGGTACCACTAAGTACCAGTTTTACACCAACAGCACCGTTATATTTGTTAGAACAGAGCAAGGCTAAGGAAATAAAACAGCACAATGTCAATATTATTAGTAGTATTACATGTACCAATTAGGCCTACACGTACATGTACACTGTACATGTACAAAGGCTCGACTTCGTAGGCCTACATGTAAATTGTACATCGTGTACTGTAAATGTACACGTACATGCTTTGTAGGCCTAGGCCTACATGTACATGTTCATGTACAGTACATCACGCCTACAAGTTCACGATGCCTACATGTACGTGTACATAACATGAACAGCACCACACAGTACTGCGTAAAGATTGCTCTGCACGCAACAAGCGGCTTCTTCAATCTTCTGACATGTTTGATCTGTGACTTGCAATCCATTTTACAAGTTACAAACACCAGGTCAACAAACATTATAACAACTAAAGTGACCTACGGTAAGTCTGGTCATCATCCCATATAAAGCTACCGGACGAATTCAATGTCAGTCATTCAAATTTCATGAATTAAATTTCACTCACCCGCACACGATACTCATCCGTCCATTTCCCGCGGTAGCGTAAAAAACAAGCTTTACATGCCAGTGACGCTGCGCGTGCGCAAACATAATTAGAATAAGGCTATGGATATTCATAAACAAGTTTAAGCACGTGCATTGCCGAGGCCAGGCCTGGCGCGTGTGCCGGCGGCACGCGGTTTCCTTGTCCCTGCTGCAAAGGATTGACAGCGTTTTCATTAGCTTCACCTTTTTTTTATAAAAAAGAGTTAGTCGCAGGACATCAAAGTTAAGATGAATTACATGTAATTGACCCAATTTGATATTTCGCTGAAGTTGGACTAGGTTAGCTGGGATTAGACTCAAGGAAAAAACGGAGGAAAAACGAGTGGAAAACACCACCGTCTATAAGCGTATAAGTTTTTGCTCTCTTGCATCTTATTTGATGTTTTTTTTGCACTATTAAACTAATTAGTGTGCTTACTACAAAGTCAGGTAGAAAAAAAAACAGTTGAAGCCTGAGACGGAGCCGAAGTTGACTATTGGTAAACAGCCTTATTGCCCCCAAACCTTCCAAGATGACAAACGCATGCGCAACGGTTAAGATACACCCATTTTATAATTACCCTTGATCTTCCAAGAAAAAAAATTACGCTACCCGGCCGGGTATTGCCAAACATCAACAGTACCATCCAAACATGCCAAATACAGACGAAATATTTCGGTTATTTCCGGAAAACTGGAGGAATTCCTCCGTCTTGGTCATGTGGGCATTGGGTGATACCGGACCCTTGATTCTTAGAGTAGCCAGAATCATTGTGTCTAATATCCAGACTAGTACCAATGATCGTATACGTAACGCACGCATTTCACAGTCGTTCGCGAACTAGAGAAGTTCACTTCCGCCCATTGGTTCCACC